CACAGACACACAGACACACAGACACACAGACACACAGACACGCACAGACACACAGACACACAGACACACAGACGCACAGACGCACAGACGCACAGACGCACAGACGCAAAGACGAAAAGACGAAAAGACGCAAAGACGCACCGATGCACAGACGCACAGACGCACAGACGCACAGACGCACAGTCGCACAGACGCACAGATTCACAGACACACAGACACACAGAACACGGAAACACACAGACACACAGACACACAGACACACAGACACACAGACACACAGACACACGGACACAGAGAACACCAGACACACAGACACAGAGACACACAGAAAAACAGACACAAAGACATAGAGACACACAGACACACAGACAAACAGACGCACAGACACACAAACACACAGACAAACACCCACAACACACAAACACAAACACAAACACAAACACAAACACAAACGCAAACACAAACGCGCGCGCGCACACGTCACGCAACCTACAGCAGCTGCGCAGTGAAACAATACGCACCGAAATAATCGCAGCCTTGCGCAAGCCCTAACTTGTGCACGGGCGCAACCAAAACAACGAAACGCCAGTCGCAACCCGCGTGTCACGAGTATTCCCCGGCCTGCGACCGCTGGCGACCGCGCTTGAACGCTTGCGACGCAGTGACGCATCTGGCCAACACAAGCTGACCCGTAAACCACTTTCTACACAGGGGGCCGGGAAAAACTTGTGAACGGTACGAACATCCTTGCAATAGCTTTCGACTTAACACATGCCTCAGTTGGCTTTGAACTATGCTGGTTGCTCAACCTCCGCGAAATTCGCTTGCGGGGCTTTCTTGAGTCGGACACAGGCGAGAGCCCTGACAGAGACAATCTGGGCCCCCGACTTCGCAGCCGGGACGCAGTTCCACAATGTCCGGGAAAAGTTGTTTGGGATGTTCCTTGTGTTGCGAGCTGCGCGAGTCGTTTCTGGGATGCCCTGCAAAGATACCCCGCGTCTGACCCGACGGAATTTGACGCATGTTTGGAAGCATGCTCTGCCAGCACTTGATAGACCCACAAAGGCGGCGGAGTCGTCCAACATGCAACAGCACACAGCCACGTTCACACACGGCGCAGGGATCTAGTCACGCAACAACCAAAGACATTGCAACAACGAGGAGTTCGGGCTCCACCTGTCAAATGACCACTGGCTCTGCAACACCCTTCAAACTTGACCCAGCACGGTCACTTCCCTGGACTTCTGAAAAGGCAAAAAATGTAAGCGCGCGTGAAAAGGCACGCAACTTCCCTTCGTTTTCAACAGCCTCATGTTTTCCAGCTGCTGACGCCGCCGAGCGGGCTACACACATGTCGCTGTCTTTTCCTTGAGCGAAAACCTGTCAGATCCGAGCAATCCAAGCTGACCCTTGCTGCATTCAACCGTATCCTGATCAAAGTCTCTTCCATCTGTACGCTCTTGGTAAGCATGTCGGCGTTGCGCTTGCCTGGGACACGAATGACCTTTATGTGGTCCATCGCTACTCGCTCTTGGGGGCCAACCCTTAGTTGATAGGGCAATCGCGTTGAGCGATGGGTGACCGCGTCACCAGCGTGGTCAGAGCTGACTTGAACCCGCAGCTTCGATGTTGGCGAATATCCGGCTTCTTGACCAAATACCTGCATAGCCGTTTCAAGTCAAGGTTCTTCGCTGCGTGAGGCCTGTCCTGACTCAGATACGCCGCACGCGTGGCGCACGACAAATGCCATGTCCTTCAGCTTCCATCATCTGCACGTCCATAGACTTCTTCACATCGGGCGTTCTACACCCTTTGCGCTCGCCACGCCAAGCTGTTGAACTTGTAGATCAACATGTCGTCGGTCTGCTTCTAAGAAAATTCCGAGCCATTTCAACTCATAAGCAGTCTTGAGGATGTCGTTCAAACGCTGAAGCGCTTCTTGGTCATGAAGCCCCCAATGCACGACTACCCGGGCACCGTCAGGGTGGCAGAAAACAGACCCGTTGTCGATGAGAAGCTTCGTGTAGCGGGCTTGCCAAATAGCCGGGGCGTCCTGCGTCCCATACATTGACTTCTTCAGCAAACCGGGCATTCTCCTCTTCAAACAACTCAATGTAGATCTTCCGCTTGGGCGTCCCGTAAAGGTGAGCTCTGGAAATGTCCCAAAGTCCAACCTTCAGTGGCGGAGATTTTTCTAAAGGCGGCGTTGAACTGTTCGGAAGGTTCTGTGGCAGCTTATCCTTCGCCTTCTTAGCTGCCTTGATTTCAATCCACCAACCTGGATTGTGTTGGCGTCTCGCCATCACACGCCAATAGGGCTGCGTCCGCCGGTGTCCTGGAGGCATTGGTTGAGCGGGACCTTCTTGCGCACTTGCATGTGGAGCATCTCCATCTCCAATTGTCTGGCTTTCTTGACGTTTCCATCATCCCAACATTCCTCTATGTCTTCTTCACTGACAAAGGGTTCCTCAGCTACAGGTCCTGAGGCTTCTTGTTCTGAAGCACTGAGATGTTCACTTTCTGAACTGCCTCACCAGAGCCGGCGGGCACCGAGCAGCAGCTCGGCCGACATCGCCGATCAGGTACATGCCTGCGCCATGGTTTGGCACCCGTCTTGTTCGCGCATTCTCCCTGGAGTAGATCGGCCAACGGCTTGTTGGTGGTCATCCGTCCAGTCTCCTTTCTCACACACCCTGTGCCTTGGAGTCTCGCTTTGTCGGTAGACGCGGTCTAAGAGTTCCTTGACGGAAGTTCCTTCCTGAGTCCAACTCTTTCTTGTAAAGCTGGCGTGAAGCGCGCAGGTGATGTAGCCCATCCTCGATCGACTGGTCACATGGTGGACCACCAGTCAATAGGATCGGCTCGTCCTTGTCAATCAAAGCTTCCACTTGTTTCACATCTTCCGGACTCAGAAGATTTTAGTAGGATCCGTCCGGCTTCTGCGCCTCTAGATTGATAGCATAGCCAGGCTTCAATCCAAACCGAGCTGCTTCCCCAGTTAAATTTGTTCGGGCTGTGAATTGAGCTCCTTGTAGGCTGGCGCACTCTCCTCTCAATCATGTTCTTCATCATGGTTTTCAAATGACTCAAACTCAGTCCGCCCGCGTCCGGCGGCGCCATCGTAAGATCCCCTGGCCTCGCTGGCCTCATCCTTGCCCTTGCTGCTGGAGATCCAGGATCCACTCCCGGCGCGTCGTTCCAAGTCCTCTTCAACTTCTGTCCATCTTCCAATGCTGGGTAGGAGGGGCCTCCTTCTGACCCACTGCTACCGGCTGGAACAGCCTGCTCTCCTGCGGCCTCTTTTCCGCAGTGACATCTTTCTTTGTCTTCCTGTGCGACCTTGCGCTTTGTCTTGAGCCCTTCAATTTGCTGACGTCCTTGTTCATCATGTAGCATGAGTGGCAGAACAGTGGACTCTCCTAGTTGCAGAAGTTGCTGTTGTGGATTCTCCTTTGTTGAGGTGGTGCCATGACATGGGCTACCGCTATAGCGGTGGCCCCCATGGTGTACCCCACACCTTGCGGCGCATAAGGTGTGGGTCCCTTAGCATCTACAAACGTGGCTGCAGTTAACAACGTCTTGCTGTCCTGGACAACGAGGATAGGTTCGTCCCGTCTTCCTTTCCATCCTTGATCATCCACGTCATCACACGCGATGATTGCAAGCTCATCGCCCACCTTCGCTTCTTCAGGCCTCGGCCCGTGCAGGCCTGGAACACCATCTGGTCGGCCTTCGTGCGCCGTCATGCTTCTCTCCTTGTCCGGTGTGTTTGCTTCCGGGTCTGGGTTGGCGGACTTTGCCATTGCTATTGGTTTGCGACGCGCGATCCAATAGAAAGTCAGCGCTTTTTGCTTTTTTGCAACATCTGCCGCTGCGGGCCGGACTTACACCTCTGTGGGCTGCCGCCCCAAACCCAAAGCGGGTTCAAGTAGAAGTTGTAGACACCCTTCTCCTGATAGACCGAGATCCATGCCTTAGCCTGGTCCTGGCGCTGCTCCTTCTGAATCAACTCTCGCGGCGCCATCTGCGTCATGCACTGCTAGTCTCCAGCGCTTCAAGCAACGGTGGGCCGAAACCAGCGGCTTGTGTACTGGTGCCAAGGGTCCTGTCGCACTGCACCACTGTCCCGCTTCTCCTACTCCTTTGAAGATTCCAGCACCGGTACCGGTGTTTCACCCCCGAAAGGTCTTGGGACTATCTTTTTTCTTTCCCTCTTTTCTGCGGGTTTGTGCTGGTCTCTTCCTGCTTTGTGTTTTTCTTGGTGTGTCCCGCAAACTTGCCCTCGGCCTGTCGTTTCCTTTCTTGCTGACTACCATGCTCGTGCTGGAGCGCATGATCACACTTCATCAGCGTATGACGGACAATGCCAATGCGACGATGTACTTCATTGCAGCAACTGGATTCTGTCCGTCGTGATGACGCTGTGTGGAACCGGAGACCACTAACCACGCACATTTCCACCTGCGATCGACCGGAAGTTGCAGAATCACCTGGCCGGGCGAGGTCCAGATATATCGCAGGACGACGCACCTCTGCACCTGGAGCGCCTCATAGAGCCCAAAAACAAGCTTGTCCTTCCTTGATGTCTTGGTTGGAGGTTGGATCTCGGCGCGTTCTGGCAGTGCATAAAACACCCTCGCGAATTGATGGAGGCAGTCGGGGACAGTCCGTCCTTCGCGGGGTGTGTGCGCAACCCTGGAGACAAGCTGGCGGGGGTCTCCAGTGAAAGCATTGCAAACACACAAGACAAAACGCGCACAAAACAACAATGGCCCCGCAGCAGCCCCGCCACCTCCATACATTATACGGGGAAAAGGGAATCTGAGGGAGCGGCGCGAATGTAGGAACGAGCTTTCAGGGATGGGTGTCAACAGCCCTTGAGGTTGTTTTGTCAGTCTTTTGCCATCGCGCCTTTGCCGCCCAAAAAGCTTGCTTCAGGAAGTCGAGAAATTGTCAGTGGTAGTGACCAGTCCACCGAAGCCGCGAAGCTGCGCTTTTTTTGCGCTTGCTAAACTTGCTGCTTGCGCACACCCTGCGCGCAAATGGGTGAAACCTGTCCGGCGTGTAGCTGCCTCCAAAGTTCAGCGTCCAAAACGGGCCGCGCGACGCCAACACCAAATAAGCTGCTGGCATCAGCCACACTGCCTGACAGTCACACCTACCTGCACAGGTGCAAGAAGCACAAAATGCAAAACACTGGGCAAACAAGAGCACGCCTTGGGCTTACAACAAGAAGTGTAGGGCCCGCCTCGCAGTTCCGCAGCGCTTGCCTGCAAACGGAACAGTCGCAGCGCGTGAAGGCCGCCCAAAGCATGCAAATCTTCTGGCTAAACACTGCCGATAGTAATTTGGACTTGGCATTAGAGATGCAAGAATTGGCGACATGAATATTCAGTGATGGGGTTCTGGCAGCGCTAAACTTAAAGTGGCGCTGGTCCGACATTTGCGCGCGGGCCGCGGCAAACCACAAGAGTGTTCCCCCAAGCAAAAGCCAAAGATCGCAATAGGATCACCGCCACACACCGCTCCCGTCTGGAGTAGGGGTCGGCGGACGTGTGATATGTGCGAACGCAAGCCAATAGTCTTAACTTTAGAGCCGCTTGGCAAAAGTTCCAAAAAAGACAACTATGGTTCGCTTTCCATCTCCCTCTCTTTTTCCTCTCTTTCAGCTTCTCTTGCGCTTTCTCTGTCTCTGTCTTCTCTTGCTTTTCTTCCTTTCTCTTTCTCTCAGCGCTGTTATGTTGTTAACACAATCAGTCAAACCTCTAGTCTGCGCAGCTCCTATTTTGCATGGGCTCATGCAGTGATAAGCTGAAGGCATGCGGTCGTGCGCAAGCTATGTAGTACCGGCAGCCCCCCCCATGATGTTCGAAGAAGTGATGATTCAACAAAGGGTGGTGATGATCGAAGAAGTGATGATTCAGCAAAGGGTGCGGTAATCTCTGTAAACATTCTGAAAACCAGCGGGGGGGTTGGGGGGGGGCGGCAGCCCCCCCCCCATGATGCTCGAAGAAGTGATGATTCAACAAAGGATGATGATGATCGAAGAAGCGATGATTCAGCAACTACTGTACTACAAGGCAGGAGAAGTGAGACGATGAAGTTTGCAGCCGGTTTTAGAAGAAGAACCCTTTGCATGCTTCCGGCTAATTTGTACACACTGCGCAAAACCGAAGCAAAGCCTGCGTGCGCAAGGTGGCAATGCATTACAGCCAGGCCCCGTTCTTGCACGAACCCCGAGCGCAAGGCTGCCCTCGTAAGCGGCTCTCTGTGCTCGCACGCGCGCTCGCCTAACCACTTCGGTGGAACCAGGTTTGCGGATCAGCTTGAAGTGGATTTGCGAGCGGCTGCTAGGTGATTGGTTAGTGCTCAAGCTCCAACATCCAAGAAACAAAAGCTATGAAGTCTAGCTCCGGTGCTTCTGCGGTCGATTGTGCGTCAGCAAAGTAAATATTCACAGATCTTTTGACGGCTCTTCAGTCTCAGTTTGAAGCATCACAAAAACAGAAACCCATGCCACCTGTACCGTCGCATTTCTTCAAGAGCACGCTGATGAATTTGAGCTCGCCATTCCTGGTTTGCAATGTCGTATGTGACCGTGACACCGTTTCAAAGGAATGCTCAGCCCACAACCTGAGAAGCCCCGCTTCCTGTGTCGCTCACGCTTACCCCCTCATCATCTGAGCATAGTTCCATATACCTCCTGGCCTTTGGCGGCTCCGGCATCCTGAATCATGAACAACTTCTCTCAAACATTCCGGCCAAGCTTGCGAACGCTGAACAAGTACCCTGAAAAGTCGCAAATGATGCCTGGCAGGTTCTCAGAGATGTCGTTGTGCCTCCTGCCTGCGACAATGGTGACTCAAACTATTTGCAAGCCTACGGCTGCTTCTCTCGCTGCAAGCCTACGGCTCGGGCTACAATCTTGACAGCTAGAATGAGCTACTTCAAGCATGCAGCAATTCCATTCATTCCATTCCGCAACGAGGAAGGAAGGCCAAAAGAAAAGGGAGGGCAAAGGTTTGCTTCATGCCCCGTTGCATCATGATACTCATCTTCATCTTCATGAACACGCATTTCTGCTGCGATAGTTACTGGCTTGAGATTCTCAATCATTGGGTTTTGATCAAAACTGGAGATGCCATTTTGTGTCTTGCCACCTGGAGCACCTCGTTTCACATACAGGAAGTTTTTTCAATCATTCCGCTGTGCCTCGTGAACTGCCGGACAACTAGCCCGGAACCCTTTGATGGCATTTGTTTGCGAATTGCGCGGCATTCAGGCAAACACAACAGGGTAGTTGCAAACCGAGCTAACATAGTTGCGGATCCAATAAAGCCCAAACCCAGATTGGTCCAGGCCCGCTGTGAGTTCTCAGGTTGCCACGCTTGCAGTCCCGACACCTGCAATGCTTTCGACTGGAAAGGCAAAGGTTACATCAGTCTCAAACAAAGAGCTTTGCTGCGTTGCCCTTTGCTGATATTCTACCAAGGGCTTGGCTAGGCCAGCAATTTGCTGATGACATCTGCACGTTGACATCCCGCCTTAAAGGTCACAATGTGTTTTCTTTGCTCAAAAAGGCGTTGCTTCAAAGCCTGAGGAACGCACCCAAGCTCCGTGCCAGGAGAGCACAAAAACACATCCGCCTCATGCAATGCCCGTCGACAAGATTTGAAAGTAATCATGGCAGTTGCTGGGCAATTGCTGGGCAACTGCTCAATCTTGGCATGTGGTTCAATCTGCTTGTTGCTTGATCCCAGTCCTACAAGTCCTACATTTTGAACATTGCTCAACATCGAGAACTTCCCTCGAGTTTGGAGCTTGCCCGTTAGCTCAAGCTTGAAGGCTTGGCAAGGCTGGCCATGGCAAAGCTGAATCCGTGCAAGCCTTCGACGCAAGTTGCACTCCTCCAAGCTTCATGTTGTCGACAAATGGGGAGGGCAAATGGGGGCAATAAAATTCGGAATGTTGGCGTTGGGCTGTGACTTGTCATCTGAGGACTTCACCTTCGAGTCTGCAGACTGAAGTACTTGTTACGCGCGGAAGCGGCAGGCAAATAAAAAGAAAAAAAAGAAAGAAAAGAAGCTATAGCTAGTCTCGGCATCGACATATTCACCCCAGAAGTGAAGGCGCAACTCGTCGGGCGAAGGCTCAACAGTGGCTCTCGCAAGCAACATTCTGAATGCAGCATTTGGAATCTTCAGCAGTGCATGCCTGTCAACTTTCTTTTCAAAACAAGCCTGCGGAGCTTTCAAAACTGCCACACACATGTCGTGACAAAAATACATTTCTGGTAGCGCTCGACTTGTTGAGGTCTTGGCAGGTTCCACACTTTCCTTACCACATGCGCGCCCGTTTGGCACAGTCAGCATTGAGCCCCGTACTTGCTGCCAAGGGTCCATGTCGCAATCCGAGGGATAATGCTGGGAAGCCTGGCAAAGGCGAGCCAGTCAAGGAAGGAAATTGCTCAAGAGGCATCTGAGCTTAAATGAATGAGCAGCCTCGGTCAGCCGGAGGCGCTTTAGTTTCGGGGCCAGAACGTTCCAGTCGCCGGCCTGCACATACACAGGTGGCTTCATGACTAAAAGCCCGTTGCACATTTATCATTCGTAGCCTCTGAAATCTGTGAGACTTCCAGTGTCCCTGGTCTCTTTGGATACTTCAGCCTGACTGGGACAACACAACGCGCACCCAATGTAAATAATTCTATGGAATAATGATAGTTAATAATATTCCAAGCCACTCCCATGACCATGTGCTTGGCAGGCCACATACCTGAGGCACAAGACAAATGACTCAGGCTGGGTTATGGTATCCCAAGGGCTCGACCCCAGGGTAGCCTGAGCATTTGCTTTCAGCAAGCCCGTCGAGGAGCATAGCTAGCGGACCGCGCTAATAAAGGGTATGTGTGTGTAACCTTGCTCTGTGTGACGTCACACACCTACGATTGCCAGTCTGAATTTCTGAATCCGCTTATGCCTCCTGAGGAGATTATCTTGGCTTGACTTGGCGGCGGTGCGAGCCTTGAGAAAAGGTCGGCCACGCTCGCACACACTCTTACACATGCAGGCCAACTAAACAAAAAAGTTCCACCTATCCCACCTGACACATTTCGTCACCATGCCTGGGACATGCTCAACAATCCACCTAAGTGCAATGCTGCGTGCATTTTATTGGCTCCTTCACGCTATTTTGCAAATTCCACGCACAAAATGCACTCACATGCTGGCGCCGCCTGCCGATCAGCTGCACTGCTATCAAATCAGCATGCAGCTCTCTTCTTCCCCACGACTTGATCACAAGCCAAAAGGCCAAACATTCTCACGCAACTACTGGAAACAACAGGCTACATTGATTCAGCTCTCCACAAACGAGAGCCCAAGCCTCGTCAAACGGGGCTTTTATCTCTCTCCAGTTGTTGACGAAAACGAGGTTACCTGCGAGGCTTGAGCTAGTGCAGTGCCATGTGCAGTATGTTTTTCTTCCAGCAGGATTTGCGTGCGGTCACATCACCTGCCTGGAGTGGCGGGGTTCATCACAACACCGTTGAAGAAAAGTCTGCTGCTGTCTGCAGCAATAGCAATGCTGCCAGCGGCCAATCCACGAAGACCCCACAAAGGTTCCCCCTCGCAGTTCCACACACCAACGCGACCATCTGAACCAGTGCTTAAGAACATAGCTTCCTCTGAATGTGATAGAAATTGCAATTGTGTCCTTGGCATCCAATGAAGGTTGCATCGTGTGGCGAGGCCACAGTCTGAAGGCCACATTCTGAGCATGCTTGCTTGGCCAGCCAATGTTGGCAACTTTCCCAACTTGATGCGAGCTGCACAGGCTGCGAATGAAATGCATCTGCCACTGCAGCTTCTCCATCTTCTTGCAGAAGGAGAACCTTCCAAGTCAGCTTCACTCCACGAATACCAATCCAAAGAGCTCAGATTATCTGAGGAACATCTCCCTGCCTGACCATCGCACAAGCCAGCGATCAAAGAGCCGCTAGCCTCATGGAAAGCCTTCAGGGGCTCCAAATTCGGAAATCGGAATGTGTGGCAATGTGTTTAGCTAGTTTGCAGCCTTGGCACCAAAGCCGTAACTGCAACATCTGAGGAGGGCGACACGTCGGATACCAAGTCTCCTTGCAACTTCTTCACGGACCCGTCCTGCAAGTGTGTGTGTGATATTTGATCCGAACGGAGCTTGCCCCATCGTTCTCTACAAACAGCGCGGCTCTGTGGCCGGAGAAAATCCCACACTTAGAATCTGGCAGGCCACTTGAAAGACCCACTTTGTGAGGCATGTTTGCCTGCTTCTTCTCACACCATCTTCATGTGCAAAGTAAATGCCCCAAAAGTCTTGGAGGATCTGGCTGTCACCCTGATGCAAACACTAGTAAGTCACAAGGTCTTCGATACTCTTGTGAATCCAGATAAAGCGGATCAAATGATTCTAATTTGTGGGCCGAGCCTTCAGCTCCACGGCCAACGCAAACTATGGCCTGGCCACCACCTGCTCCAAGCACGACATCAGGTAATTAGGCATGTGCCAGCTTAGGACCTTTCCTCCGCTGTCATCAAATCGCAGCAGCCAACAGGCCAGCTGAGTGGGTTCTAACTGTTCAAGTACTTTATCGCTGCAACTCTGTGTTCATGCATTAGTCACCAGGATAAGCCTGCTCAATAACAGTTCGGAGCTCGGCTCCTGCTGCTCATCCTTTGGGAGTCATTAGTGTCCACCTGGTATTTGTAAATGGATGTGGAAGAAAAGCAGGCGGGCCGAACAAACAAAAAACGCACCGAACCTCGAATAACACTGCCCTTTTTGACAATAATACGTTGTTGGATCGTTGGTACCTTTCTTCAGCTCCCCAAAATCCAACAAGTCCAGCTTCCCGACCAAAGTCATGCTTTCTTAGATTCTAGCACGTCTTTTGCAAACCCACAAAGGGGTTAGTACTTCAGGCCCTCAATTCGACTTAATTTCAGGGGCCCCTGCCATAAAGTTTTGTTGCTCCAGCTAAATCAAATGGAAACTCAAAGCAACACCTCAAAAGAAGCTCCAAACATACTAAATAGAATGGAAAGTCAAGTCCACCAATGCTAGGTCGAATGAAAACCCAAGTCAAGCTCTCAAAAGGAAGCTCCAGCAATTGCTAAATCAAATAGAAACTAAAATCCAGCAATACGAAGTCAAATGGAAACACAAATTCAATCTGAAAGGAAGCTCTAGCAATACTAACAATATAAGTTTACCTCAAGATATAGTTCTAGGTACCCCATTGTTGAATTTCCCGGGGGGGGGATCCCCCCCCTTTTATAACTCCAGGTAGTCATTCCCTCTCTGGCTCTCCTGCTGCCAAGCCCGGTCCTGAAAGCCAACATACACGGCGTCTGAACCGGCTGAACACAAACACGAAGGGGGCGACTCAAATTTGCTGGTACCTCGGTTGCAATTTGGTGCACGTGCACTTCTGGACCCAGAACAAACTCGACCAACACGTGCTGTATCGCCAATCTTAACCATCCGAGCAGCTCCGGGGCTGCAAGCGGCTCCCTTTGGCATCGTCGATATTCCAGAATGAGACACTCCCGTCAAGACTGCTGCTGACGATAAGCCTTTCTGCCACAAGCAAGCCTGACAAATGTCAATTGAAACTCTTGAGCATTGAACATCTTACTCATACTTGCATGCTTCAGCGCCTGTAATGGCCTGGTCGTGGGCTGAAGCACCATCTTGTGCAAATGTAATGTTCGCAGAGGCAGTCCCACAGCCTCTGTTAGGAGACTAAGTGTCAGTCATCTTTACTAAGCGCCACTGTGAATGAACATTTCACTGCCACAAAGCGCCACAAAGCCACAATCGGGAAATTCAGACCGCCAGGCATGCAGCCCTCCACCAGAATCACTACCAACAACGATGTCATCATTGAAATGGAGCGCGGTGATTGTGGCTGGCACATGCGATCCAATGTAGTACCTGAGCCCCTCCCAGGAACAGTACTCATCAGGCTTGCATTCAGCTTGCAAAGCAATGAACGTGGTGACACTGTATTCAAGCCCCTCAGTTTGAGCCGTGGAACTCTCCCACTTTGTCACCGCTGCGTACATCCACTGCACGGATTCGGCCAGCGCTGGCAAGGCAAAGAGTCTCCCCACGCAGTGCTAAAGCGCTGACGGGGCCGGCCTCAGCATAAAATTTAAGCAGCATCAATGCATCAGTTCGATTGGAAAAACTGTTCGTAGCCATGAATGCAGCGGCCTCATAGCATGCGACTCGAAGTTGACCCGCACCGCTACGCCAACTGGCGGCGGCATTTGCGCAGCTCTTCGGGATAGCCGGCCCTATTCGCGACACTGCTGCTTGCCAGTGCCTGCGCGAAACTGTGCCACGGGAGCAGCGCCCATACTATCTTAAATATTGCATCTAGTTTTGCATTAAGCGCGATCGGTTCTACTGGTTCCCCGCTCTGTGATGGTCGTTGTGGGTTCAGTAGCTTTTTACTTAAAGTCAGCTTCTTTGTTTGCCATTCTTGGAAAGTAAGAAACACAAATGGCGGCCTCCCATATTGATCGATTGGAGAACTTCTCGATGGCGGAAACACTGCAGCCACTGCTTCCCGTGGCAGTGCAGCGGTGCGTCGCGTGCAGCATTTTCTATGGGCACCGCTTACAACGAGCGCGGCCACCAGCTTGGCTGACGTACTGGTTGGCCGCCAGGCTACAGATCGGCCTGCGCTTTTGACTTTTCAGCAACTGTTCGCTCAGCAAGCGAACACACTCATCTGGATTGCGCGTATTCAAGCCATAGGCGACAGCATAAACATTTCCAGCAGAAAGTGCTTGCCCCGCGCCCCTGGAGTCCTGCATCACTTCTGGTACTTGCTCGCCAAGGTCTGTGCCAAGAAGCAGCCGAAGTGGCACTTGTTGATGCCCAAGGAGAAGTGATACTGATTGCCATGGCAACGGGAACTTGGCTGCTTAGTTTTGGCGGAGTTTTCGCATTGCATGTATATTTTCTTCGTAGTTTGCGGGCGATCATGATCGAAAGACAATACACACGCAATGTTGCTGGACCCGCATGACAAAGTTCCACACTGCGTTATTTGTGCATCAAACGGCCATTGTGCCAATGTCTTCAATCAATGGGTTGACAACCAAGCCTGAGCAGACTTTGCGCGCAGTAGTTCCATAGTTGTTATTTTAATTTTGTTCTCGACGTGCTTGTCTGATAAGTAGCGTTGGCCACCGAGCATTGGGAACCAATGACAAGGTAAGCCTTGCCAAGTTCAGCCATGCTCCAAGAGCAAAACATTGTCTCTATGTACAAGCTGCACCTCCTTGTGCCGTCTCACTCAAGTCTTCTGCTGAACCTGTCTTCTTGATGTGTTGGTTGATGAAATTGCGCGGCCGAATGACACGGACACCTAAGCACTCATGCACACCCAACCGCACGCACACACATACACACAGGAACCTCCTTTGCCAAGACCAAATCGCTTCCACATGGCGGCAATGTGCAGGACCTCCTGTGCCAATGTGTCCGAGGCTGTTCTTGAGCTGACTTCATGCCCTTCGCCCTCTGCTGTCAAGCAACTATGTTTGCCAAGCGGCCTGCCGCAGGATCTCTCGCAGCAAAGCCTGTAAGGCGAAAACAACCCACGCATTCCTTGCCAGTTGCGCTCTCAAATGGCTTGCCTCTGCAGGCAGCTCGCAATGGGCGCCCGCGCTTTCCAAGGCCTTGGGGGCCAAAATCAGTGCAAGCAAGAAATAGTCGAAATGGACCAAATACAATCAGGCTGCCATCCACCTTTTCAGGTTGGTGGGTGAATTCTAGATTCTTGCATATCACTCAGATATTGCAAGGTTTTAATGGGCCAGCACCATGAAAGGGGAGTGTTCTGATTCCAAGCAAGCTGATTGCGACAAACATATGTGGTGGGCCTTTTCGAGGTCCCCCCCTTTTAGCGTTGCTTTGACAAGAATCCCAACAAAAACACATTGGGGGCGGGTTCTCTATTCTTGGAACCACCGATGTATCCCGTGCGGCATGCGCAAACAACATGTTCCGGCTTAGCTTCAAAGTGCATATGTACTGTGTGTGTGGTGGCACATAAACTAGCAGATAAGTAGAATCCGTTGCGAATTCCACATTAAGATTGGCCCATCGAGCTTCTCAGACATATATGTGTAGAAGCACGCCTGTCACTTAGAACTTCCCGAGTGGCGAAGCGACCTGATAGCTGCAAATGCTACTTTGGCGCTAGGTAACATGGCTGCCCGTTCATAGATTGCTCGGGTGTTCCTCGCATTGCATTTCAAACATCCATTCTCTACAGCACAGTGACCGGTAGGAAAAAGGATTTGCGGAATGCGTTGGCCACATCACGCAAATACAGAATCTCCTAGCACCAAGCAAGATTGAGGTTTAGGCAAAACTGGAAAACCGCGAGAATCAGACCACTTAAGGGATGAATTCGGCACACGTGCATCGCAGTCTATGTTGGAAAGCGTAGGCCGAAGACAGTATGTCTCCAAAGTTGGAATGTAACTGAGAGGATTGCACATGCATTGCACACTCAGTTCCATCATCAAGCTCCAGGTGCCTGAGGCGCAATGGTTTTTGCTCGCACTTGGACCAAGTGCCAAAATGCAGCTGCGCAAGTGCAGGGCTGTTTGGCTCTGGTGGTTATAGCAGGAGCCATGCGGTAGACAATGAAAAAGTGTACAGCGGGCATGTGCTTGTGACTGTGATTGCAATTGAAAAATTGCCAACCAAACATTGTTTGTGTCCCATGCTTGTCAGATTTTTCTTGGAACACTCAGCCAGGTTGGCTCAGTGAAACTCATGTGTTTGGTTCCAGCAGCTCACAGCAGACAATGATGTTTAACACTAACATTACGCAGCAGATGAGCCCGCCGCCCATACTCGTGCGATTTGTATAGGTTTGTACAGACCTTGACCGCTGAAAGGGAATGGGGTTAATCTCCCCCAGCCAGGACGTGGATACTGTACGGCAACGTAAGGGAATTCGGCGACGCAGGGGAGAGCCCTTCGAAGCGTTGTTGCGTTCTCAACTGCCCTTGAAAAGTTGAAGGACAGACAGACTTATTCACACCCCTGGTCGGACCCATAACCGCATCAGGTCTCCAAGGTTTGTAGTCTCTGGTCGATAGAACAAAGTAGGTAAGGGAAGTCGGCAAAACAGATCCGTAACTTCGGGAAAAGGATTGGCTCTGGGCGCAGGGGTCACACGCAGGAAAATGATTGAGCCTTGGTTCGAGTGCTGGTATGACATCTGGATTTGAACCAACAGTCAGCCTACCCAGGCTCAAGTTATCGTTGCAGATTGTGTTCAGTCAGCCACTAAATGGCTCATGTACCAACATGCATAAAATAGTACGGTGACATGTAAGCAGATAGCTTTCAAACTATAAAAACAAATTGAGACTCAAGCAAATTGAAATCGAGGTTTCAATAAAGCAAATCGAAACCTCGATTTCAATTGTTTTCTTATAAATTGAAGATCAAACCCCTGAATTTCAATTTGTTTTTATACATTGAAAAGCATTGTTGGGCATTGTCAGATCTGATTGGTTATTAATGATGCACAATTGAACTTACTGATTATGTTGTATTTCATTAGGGCCATATGTGCTCTCATGGCCTGAAGCTGCTCCAAATCTGAAATCTCTTTGATGATCTCAGCCACAGACCCCATGGCGCTAGACTACTTCTGGATACACACACTTATTACAAATCAATGGCACCAATGGGAATGGATTCTGAAATGGCATCCTGTCATGTTGTTTCCTGAAGATTGTCTGTTCCCCAAGTAGGATGCTAGACAAATGGATGGCACAATGCAAATGACTGTGCGCACACACGATATGGCACATTTGAGCAACAACAATTGCAAATTGTACAAGCACATAATCATCACAACAATCAAGTTCGGCAATCAAGCATCTGCTAGTCCCAGGTTTCCAATGGAGCAGGGAGCGCCGACTCTGAGACATCTGACCTGATGCCAGGTAATGGCAAGCAACCAGGCTGTGGACAAGTGCAGTCTGGACAGCAGCCTGAAGCAAGTGGTTTTGAAGGCAGTTGATGAGAAGATGCTGGTCTCCAGCTCAGAGATTAGGGCAACACCAGATCCTTGCACATTTGTGCAATTACCTCTGTGGCAAGAACTGGAACAAGTGGAATGCTGAAAGCAGTCTTGAGCATCTGCAGAGGGGGTGCCCATCAATGTCTTGAAGCCTGGGCGGCTGGTGGCAAGTTTCGAGCTGCTTGGCGGCAGTCAGAGTTTAGAGGCAGACAGCTTAGACACTTCAGAACAGGATGAGGGGCTGAAGAGGGCACACACACTTCAGATGCTGCAGCTGGCAAAGCAGGCTGGCAAGGAAGCTGAGCAACAAGCTGAGACGATCACACCAAAATCAGTCTCTGCAAAGCCAAGCTTGCAGAGCCAGCCACCTTCCAAGGATTTAGCATCTTATGAAGATGATGCTTTTGCTTTGCTGAAAAGCAGAAAGGGTGGAACAGCAACAAGGGCCACAGCAAAAGCCAAAGCATGTGCAGCTGCACCTGCACACAGCGAGAAGTGCGGGCGCTTAAGGTGTAGAGCGGGTGTGAAAGGATGTGACGTTTGCTGGGTCTCAATTTTGCAGTGGTCAGGCTGCCTGGAAGGCATGCGTCCAAATTCATGGAGAAGGGAAAAGGGATGCTTTGACCAGGCAAGAATGAAAACTGCCAGAACACTGCTTGGGTGAGGCCATTTGCTTCCATGCAAACATGACACGCAGCTTGTGGGAAGGACGCAACTTGTGCACCCAGCAATGTGCCACATAGGCACTTGCAAAGGCAGGGGCCTGTGGAGGACGGATGCCAACCAAAGAACTGTGCATGCTGCCAATGTAATGTGTCAATTTGTCACTACACTGGCTGAATGAGCTGAGCCAGCAGAGGAGGTGTCTTGGAACAGTTTCACAGCCAGCAGATAAGCTGGGAGGAGTCTGAGGCATACAGCAGCTCGAGTGACAATGGTGACCCTTATGGCAGCTGGCAGCAAAGGTGCACCTGTCAGCACAGCTGCAGTTGGCAGGAAATGTGAAATTTGCAGCAAGGGGCCAACTACAAGCAGGAAAGGCAAGAACAAGATGCCCCTGCTTGGGCTGCTGCTTCGGCGCCTTCTTCAAGCAGCAGTTGTAAAGGCAAAGGCGTGTTTGTGAGAGCCTCTCAGACGGAGATCGTGCTGGCGGCTACCATAAAGGTGTGGAGGCTAATCAGAAATAGATGCCAGACTGCTACCTGGCTCTGCTGCAGCAAAAGCAAGTGGCACGCATGGGCAGCTTCAGCGCAGTGTTGGCAGCTCCTTGGCTCACTGTAGCCCTTGTGACAAGAAGCAGAAAGTAGAGAACAGCCAGCAGCCGCACGCATGCCAAAGAACAAGCAAAGGTGGCAGCAGCAAAACAGCTTTGCAGCTTGCAAGCGTGATTGTTTCTGCCAGTGTGTAAGGGCTTGCCGTGCGTTTGTGTGTCTGCAGCCAAAGCTTTCAGAATAAGTTCATATAGGGCCGAACCCACCCAAAACAAATGATTTGGCTGTGCAAAGTTCAGACACCAGAGAATGAAAAGCCATGGTTATGCCATGCAATGCATCAGCAAAGCAATCGAGGGAGCAGATCAATAAGTTGAGGAGGTGTAGCAGCGCTGGAGACAATTGTGAAGGAAATTGCCAAGGCATCCCGCAGCATTCAGGCAGAAAGCACATGAGAGAGGGTGCATCCAATCAAGCAGCTTGCAGAAATAAATGGTTTTGGCCCTTTGCTGCAGCAGTTTGATGCTGTGACCTTGCAACAGAGTGTGGCGAAACTGACAACGGTTAACTTCCTGCCCCTGCTTTCAGGTGAAGGGTCTTACCATGACCTCATTTTGCACTTTCGCTGACGCTTGGTCATCTATGCAGATGAACTGCACCAGCTGTCCTTGAAGGGTGCGGGAAAGCTGCAAGAGTGGAACTATTGGCACGACACATTTCCACAAGGAGTCAAAATTGGGGAACTACATTCGGCTTCTGCAGCAGAACTTTGACTTCCTCTTGGGGGTGGAGGCTTGCAACACAAGCCACCGGTGCAGGCTTGCGTGTGGTAGCACTTGCTCCAAAGATATAATTTTGTTCAATGACCCTAGCAGCAACACAAAGACTTGGCCTTTTCTTGTGCTTTGATGGGGGCCACATGTGGTGTTGCCTGCTGAGGAAATCCAATGCTCTGTAGTGTGCAATTTGGCTAGCAATGCCACTTTGACAACACTTGCGCCTTACCACCTATGCCCCATGCAGGAAGTTGACGGGGAAGTGCAAAAGGGTGCCAAATGTCAAACATGCGTTCATTCAGCCAGTCAGCACAGTGCGCTCATTCAGCTTGTGCCCCAGTTCCAGGCAGCAGTCAGCACAATGTGCTCATTCAGCCATACAGTAAGCTCACCCACATGTAGGTTCACCAGCACGCGTGGCAACCTCAACTATGGCTTGCACCGGGGGTGCGCATGGGCCTTTGGGTGGGAAACCAAATCCCACCGGCGCGGCTCCGTCCGCACCCGCGAGCAGAATCCCATGGCGATTGAGATTGGTTATACGGGAAGTGCGGATTCTCTTGGGCGAGCCATCGGCCCAGTTTGTCTGACCAGCTTGCTGTTCATGACGATTCGGGAACTCGGAGGGCTCCGATCTTGGTCGCCAGCAGCCTCCTTGTTCACTGACGCAATGCCATCGCGCGCTGCGCGCACGCATCCCCCGTGGATCTTCATCTCCTCCGCCTTCTCCTGAAGGTCGCCAGTGATTTTGAGCAGTTGGCCCTGCTCGTCCAGCCATTGGCCAGATCGGCGTCATCGCTACCGTCAAAACCAAACGTTCGCGCTGAGATTCCAGGACGCAATGAAGTTCAAACCTGATGCCTCGGTCTCAACCAGCAATGCTTAACAGTGTTGGAATTGATGGAGGTGTTGTTGGACTGTTGAGGGCGCAAGGCGATGTCGTTCGTTGAATCTTCCTGCTGCCTCCATGTTCTTCAAATAGTCGGTGCCTGGAGCAAGTGCGTCGATGACCTTCTCCATCCTGCGTCTCCACAGCTGCAAAGCGTTGTTGTCCGCTCGTCGCGCAGGATTGCCTGCGTAGGCGCCCTCATTGTTGGCGTTGGAAGGTGGTCGAGCTCTTGTCCTCTTCGGATGCGTAATGGCTTGAGTCTCCATTGCCGGCCCGTCGCCCCTGCCCTTGCGCTTGCGGGTTACCTCCTAACAACCTTCGGAGCCTCCTTCTTGGCGTTGGGTCTTGATCTTGGCAAAGAGTCCATGTTCTTGGACGTTTTGCCACTCCAAGGATTGGGGATTGATGCCGATGCCTGCCAAACCTATCCTTGGGCTTCGGAGCCTGCTTGAGATGACCTCAATCACAAGTCAAGTCGGAGGATCATCCGGCCACGTGGTGGGCCAGCTGTCACTTGTTAGCCGCTTGGGTGGGGTGAAGCCTTTTAGGCCGGAAGTTGCCGCAGGGGAGAGCGGCGACACGGTAGCAACAACCTGCGACCGGTCACTAGCCATCCGTTTGCTACACGGGTGACAGCCGAGGTAGAACTTGAAAACTCCGAGAATCCGCTTGAAGGGTGTACACAGTATAGCTGAGCGGGCGATCGGGTTGGTTGCCGTTGAAATAGGAGTTGGTAGGTCTACAAGATCAAGTAGTTGGATGGCGAAGCGCAGCAACAAACAGGCCCTAGTGCCACTCGATGTAAAAGATCGTAAACGCAGGTAACAGGAACTTCCCTACGTCAGCCCCCCGCAGCACTAGGAAGAGAAACCCAATGATGAGGGAAACTGTCACGCAATGGCGTCCGTCCTTTTAGCAGGCAAGATGGTAGCGTGCAATTGGACTGAACCAAACAGCAAAGACCCCAAGCACCAGCACTCTGGAGGTGCCAAGAATACAGCCGTTGTTGCATGTCTGTGCGCAAGCAACTCTTGCAAACACCAGCTCTGTGCAAACATGCAACCTTGTTTCTTGGCATGCGCCGCTTCATCCAAATAGCTTCCAATAAGAGTAGCCTTAGCTGCACGTCCATAAATCAGTGTCGCAAGTCATTAACTCTGACGATCAGGCACTGAGTGCCTAGCACATAATGAAGACGAAGTCGGAGTTCCTCATTTCAGCAAATCAAAACTGCGCGTGCACAAGCAAATAAAGTCACCAGAGATTGCTCAATTTGCCAGAACAAAGCCAAGCAATCCTCCAAACAACAACATTTGCATAAGCTACACCAAAAAGTGCTAGGGGTCTATTGCTGCGAAATCTGTGTTTATTTGACCTGTTCTGAAAAAAACCCAACCCGAACCGTTGCCGGCCTGGTGTCCCTAACGATTGCTCCTGTTGTGTCTAACCTTTGGCCCCATTGCCAGCTTTGTATGAAGCCAACCAAAGCTCAACTGTGGGGTCATGCTCATGCTTTGGTTTGCAACACCTCAGCAACACAACTATCAGCCCAGTTCCCCCCCCGAGCCATTTGGTGCCACCAAATACCACTGCCCCTAGACAAAGCTAATGTTCTGCATCATGTCCTGGGAATCTGGGAATGGACCCTTATACAAAATTGGCCCTGGTGAAACCTCATCCAAATACAAAACCAATTCGAATGCAGTTCAAAGGTAGCATTGACCGGAACCTGATCTAAAGACATCAGAAGTGGCACTGCCCCTGGCATATAGTGCTGAGAAAGCACTTCCGGGCACTTCCTGCATCAACGAAAGCAACTCAAAAAGCTGTCACTTCGACTACTGAACTTGGCAAATCGCTCGATAGTCTTTCTAATCTAGGATGCAGAGGTGGACATTGTTTGGCATTGGGGCGTGACTGCTGAGAAGGTTCTGCTTTCTCCGCTCCACCAGGTGCATCCTGATTTGCCCAGCAGCAACACTGTGCGTTTATCACAGTTTGCATCCCAGGCCTGACAGTAGCGTTGAAAAAACCCATCAGAAAGGGCCTCCTGGGCCTCTCCATTGCACAACGCATGAGTACAGTCAGGCACTGTCTTACTTTCAACTCCCGCGCTTGCGCAAGAAACTGCAAAGCACACATCTACCCTCCAAGACAAAGAGACTCCCACCATCTTCAACACGTGCCTCTCCAAAGGACTTGAGGCTCTCATCCAATCGCAGCATTGCCCAAATCTGTGCCTCAGACTCAAACTCTACGCAAGCATACATGACGCGGCGCAGTCGCAACGGCAAAGGCAGCAGCTGCGAAGCGCCCTGGTTTTGCAAGGACCTGGCAATCTGAGCTCGGCGTGACATCATTGAAGCACGCTGCAGCATGTGGGGTACTCCGAGCTAGGCACTGGCAGGGCGCCCCACAATCGCAAAGTTGGCTGCGCACCATTAAAATTCACCAGCACCTCATCTTTCGCGCAGGCGACAAGCGAACTGTGACAAATTGACACAGGCATCTGGGATGGCTGGTCTAAGGGCTGACGTTCCTTGCGAAGAACAGTCCTTCAACGCCAATGCAGTTTGCTTCAGGCGCCGCGATGTACTCACCTCAGTCGTCTTACTTTTCAGTGGTGTGTGAGAGACTTGCCATGAGTACCACAAAGGCGCAGCAACGCAAGCTGCACAAGGGGCGCACCATAGCAGCTCAATGACAGAAACAATTCCGTGAAGTACTCGCGGTCGTCCGTAACTCTATTTTCTGACGAAAGAAGCCGCCTAAGACGATCGCTTGGCGCGCATGTTGAATCAACATACTTCCTAACACGCGGGACGGACATATCAATCGGACGAAGCAAGGCACATCTCCTAAAAAGGCAAGTCACCAAGCTTCGATGACATCACCCACTGGTTCATTGCAAAGAAGTCTGAGACAGGTCCTAGCAAATCAAGAGCTCTTGCTGAGAACACTGACAAGCTCCGACATATACCAACTTTGATTACACAAACTTCTTTTAGAGGAAGATTGTGCCGCTTCCAACCATGGAAACAACTCCAAAGCCATTCTTAAACCTAACTCCAGCCCCTCCTTGAGACGGTGCTTGGCTGCCAAAGCCAGTCCGGCGCATTACCGCCACTACCTTGAATCTCAGACAAGTTGCAGAGGACGCTCATTTGTTTTGTTCACCAAGCTGCACTAGCTGAGGCAGCTGAGTCACTGAACAATTGCCTCAAAGACTCAGAGATTCCACGCAAAGCCTGCCAACGCAAGATTTTATATGCCCCGCGCGCAAGTCAACACGGGCACCTTTGTTGCGTCGCGAAAAGCTGCCGACGCAGCATGGGACTGAATTGGCACCTTATAAACTTGCTTGGGTTGAAACTCACGTCTGGCTCAATGTAAGATTGATTGTCGGGATTCTGAGTGTCTGGCTTCGTTAGACACCGCAACTCGCGCGAGATTTGCACCTTGGGTCAGGCAGTTTGCAACAACAATAGGACCAGCCTGGCCACAGCATGAAAACATGTC